AATAAGATTTGACTCACTAAAAGGAAGACATTTGCTAAAAAATCTGAATGTAAACAATTTAGAGGAAGACAATCACAAAACTAAAATTCACAATTCAAAGGAAAGACGCAAGAAAAAAAAGCAATGCAGCTGGAGAATGAATTTCAAAAAGGGACAGCCAAATCTAAATTTACAAATGGAGTTTCTCCTTCAGAAAATACAACAAAAAACATAAGCCAGCATATGTAATCTTCAAAGTGAAGAACTAAATTTGTCCCCTAGATAATATGCATCGAGTGGTACTTTTTTTAGTGTAATTGATATTTTTTTAAAAGTAATATGACAGATTTTGCTATTGTTCTAATTGTTCTAGATCTAGCACAGGAAGAACTTGTTGTCCTTAAAGGATTTGCTGTAATTTGAGAGCATGTTTCCATTTCATGCTGATAATGTGATATTGGTCCTTTATTAATTAAATGAGTACTTCTGCTTTATTTCTACTTCAGTTTTTGGTGATGTTTAGAACCCAGTATACCAAATGGCTAGGCAGAGCCTTATAATTAGTAATCCATGCTGTTTGGAAACTTCATAAAATATTTCGTTTTAAATTCTTGCAGCTCTGGTGTTATTGACTGCTAAAACCTCTCTTCTGTGTAGAGTGAAACAAGAAGGTAAATTTTGTCAGTGTATTGCTACAGGGCTCAGAATGCAATTTGAAAATTCGGAGAATAGAAACACAAAATATAAACTTACCTCAAAGCCTTATTTTACCCTTTACTCCAAAAATAAAATAAAGGAAGTCTAGACTTCAGCATATTTCAATGTCAGTAAAATCTTGTGAATCATTGTGGATGACTTTGTAGGTCTGGTGGTTCAGAATAGGGTCTTATTATTTTATAGTCTTTAAGCCTATAACTATTACTCATTCTGGTATTTGAAAAAATAAGTTGCCTAAGCAGTTGAAGGTAATTTAAGGAGTAGCCTTTGGTCAACAGGGTAGAACACTGGACTCCAATGGTAGTGGATCTAGGGATGAAATCCAGTTCCTGTCTTGTCCTTTTTTTTCCTCTAGTGTTGGCCACTGGATGCATAGGCAGTGAGCTCTCGAGCACTGCTGCACTTCCATTTTCAACCTTCTTGATCTGCACCTGGACTTGGACCTGAGGGAATTTGTCACTACAGAGCTTGATAACCTTATGTGAGACCCTTCACCTCTGGGCCTCGCGTTATTTTTGTAAAATGCCAAAAAATGATACTGACCTTCGCTAAAGGGTTCTGAAAGATCCTGCTGAGAAGACTTTATATAAGACCTACATAGCATGTCTAAATTTGTTGGCCTTATTCTAAGATACCCTTGGAATCTTTTTTGTGTAGTTGTAAAACAGCAAAATGTATCTTAATTGGAAATAAGGCATTTGAAATGTATACTCAGATTTGGGGGTTTGACATCCTTCCTCCCTCAGTGTTTTTAAAAATTACACAACCCTTATTTTTGTAAGATATTATTATTTTTTTTTTATAGGTATTCATGTGTTCTCATCTAGGTTTTCTAGTTGGTCTGCAGACCAGCTAAAAACAAACAAACAAAAATTAAATCCTTTTACAAATCTTCATTATGGATCTTCTTTCAAGAGATCTTCCATAAATAGATTTTAACTTCTTACCACTTTTAACATTTTTCTGTGTTTATAGCTTTAAAATCTGTTATTGGTTCCATCCACTAAGAATTTTTCTTTTTCATTTTTATTTATTAAAGCCTTCAGCTTGTAAATATTATGGACTTATTTTTAAGTCTGGTTGTGGTTGTATTTACTAATGCTAATGATATTTAGCTCTGGATGTAGCTATAAAAATGTTAATTTTTGTACACTTGCCTGCAGCCATTGCGGTAGTTGGGTTTTTTGCAGAACACTCTTTCCATGTCCCTATCTTCCCTAGCATTCAAAAATAAATTTTAAGGCTGTCATTATAAATGGCCAGAAGCATAATGTGGTCAATATAATGTGTAGTACAGAAACGGAAAAGTCACTTTGCGAAGTTTTATTCCAGAAATAGTAAATAGATAGATAAAATTTACCACCTTCTATGTTAAAATGCCATGTTTGAGGTTTGATTATAAAAGTGTATTTGAAGTGTTACTGGGCCCCTTTGGGCTTAGTGAAGTAAATACTTACACAGTCTAATTCAATTTTTTCACTTCACTTTGCTTTACAGTATATTTTTAAGTTGACATATGATTTGAAACATTTAAAGGGTATGAAAATATTTCTTTGAATTTGAATTACAGTCGTCTAAACTAGGTTTCTTTGCAGAGGTAGTGGGTTAGCTGTTAGAACAGTAGTACTAAAACATCCCCTGAGTTACTTTTTCTGTTCTTGAAGAAATTTCTTCCTGTCAAACTTTACATGCTCTTACTACCAAGCAATAATGAAAATGTGCAAGCCTTTACATTGGAGAGACTACAACATATATTTAGGTGAGACTTCCTATCTGAGCAATTCTCAAAGGAGAGAAAGCAAAACAAGCCCAAAGTACAGACTTTCTGCACAAGACTTCTGCTGTCCTTTTGCACATCAATACGCATAACTGGTTCACAGAAATCTAAAAATTTTCCTAAGGAGGAACTGAATATTATGAAAGGAGTTTTCCATATTCTGCTGATCAGCAATTTCTAGAGATGCTATTCTACTATGTTGTTACAAGGTAATTACAATCTACTAATATACTGGAGGAAAAAAAACATGCATGTGCGTGTCTTTTTAAGCCACCTGCATATTTAAAACTAAAATTTGATTGACTTGAAGCTGCTTCCCTTGTGATGAAACATAAAATTAGGGAAGCTGGCATTCTTACTGTGTCAGAGCCCTAAGGGTTTTCCTTCCACTGGCTCTCCTTTGAATCTTGCCTTCTAGGATCTGCATCATTGCTTGCATGCCTGCATCCAGGAGTTTTTCCTGACTCGGTAGGCGCACAAATCAACCAGAGGTAATGCTATTCTAGACTTGATCCTGGCCAAAGGGGACGACCTGATGACCACCTTAAAAATAGAAGGTAGCTTGGGTGACAGCGACCATGAAATCATCATATTTACTGTCCATGGCAAGGCAGACAAATTTCATAGACATTAGGGCTGAAAGAGACCTCACAAGATCATTAAGTCCAGCCCCCTGCCACAGGGGCAAGAAGTCAGCTGGGGTCACAGGATCCCAGCAAGATAAATGTCCAATTAGATAGCAGGACTGAAGTTTTGACTTAAATGCAAATTTCAACCAACTTGGGTCATTAGCAGGGGAAAGGCTGCGGACCAGGGGCCAAAGGTGAAAGGAGTGCATGAAAAGTGATTGTTCCTTAAAGACACGATCCTCAAAGCACAAAGGAAGTCCATTCCCATGTGGAGGAAAAGTAACTAAAGGGTTGGGAAGCTCTCTTAGCTAAATGGGGACATCATGGTCCTCTTAAGAGAAAAAGAAAGAGGCATACAAGCAATTGAAGCTTGGGGCATGCCCCAGGGAGGCTATATGACAATGGTCCACACTTGTAGGGAACAGACTTGAGCTAAGGCAGCAACCAAACTAAAATTAGCGGCAGGAGTCCAGGACAACAAGAAGTCCTTTTGGTATGTAGGGAACAGATGGGCTCCAGGAAACATGGGGTTGTGGGGCTACTGTTCAACAACTCAGGACAGTTGGTTAAAGGCACTCGGGAGAGAACTGAACTCCTAAATGACTACTTTGCTTCAGTTTTTCACCAACCAAGGACAAAATCATTCCAGAGTGGGCACAGAATGAGCAGGATAGGAATGACTGCCTTCCTACTATTACCATAGAAGTGGTATGTCATCATTTGAAAAAATTAGACCTATAAATCAGCAGGGCTAGATGAACTTCATCTGGGGATGCTGAAGGCGCTAGCCAAAATCATTGCCACTGGTGAAACTTTCCAAAACTCATGGTGCTCCAGAGAGGTCCCTGAGGACTGGAAGAGGGCTAGTGTTGTGCCCGTCATCAAGAAAGGGAAGAGGGAGGACCCAGGTAACTATAGGTCAATCAGCCTAACTTCTATCCCAGGGAAGATCCTGGGAAAATTCATCAAAGAGTCTATATGCGATGAGCTTACAGAAAGTAGGATTCTGAATGACAGTCAGCATGACTTCGTCACAGGTAGGTCTGGTCTTGCCAACCTCATCTTTTACAATCTAGTAACTCGCCACATGAATAAGGGAGAGGAGGTTGACATGGTATATACCTTAACTTCCAAAAGGCCTTTGATCTAGTATCCCACAATGTTCTTGTGAGTAAATTGGACTCAACCGTGAGACGGGTAGGTAGGGAACTGGCTGCAGGGTAAGACTCGAGAGTTCTAATGAATGGATCGGTGTCTTGGTGAGAAGTGGCCAGTGGTGTACCTCAGGGGTCAGTGCTTGGTCCGGTGCTTTTCAACACCTTTATCAATGATTTGGATGTGGGGGTAAAAAGCTCACTGGCCAAGTTCACAGATGACACCAAGTTATGGGGAAGTGTGGTTACACTTGAAGATAGGCTGCAGATACAGGCGAGTAAGTTGGGTGGATCAGAATCAAATGAAGTTCAACATTGAGAAATGTAAAGTGCTCCATCTGGGGATAATTCCCCCCCACCCAAACAGACACACGCCTACAATGCTAATCTGGCCGGCATGATGAATGAAAGGGACCTGGGGGTAATAATAGACCACAGTATGAATATGAGCCAGCAGTGCGGTGCTGTAGGCAACAGGGCAAATAATATCATGGCATGCATCAACTGATGCATCCCCAGCAAAACTAGGGAAGTGATTCTTTCACTATAGTCAGCAATGGGGAGACTGCAGCTGGAGTACTGCATCTGGTACTGGGCGCCACACTTCAACAAGTATGTGGATACAGGTCTAGAGAATCTAGTGAATGATCATACAGGTGGCCTGAGACTTGCACGGCAAGCCATACGGGGAAAGGCTGAGGGACCTGGGACTTCATCTTGAAAAAGAGAAGCCTGAGAGGGAACTTGATAGTGGCTTACCACCACATCAGGGGTGTACATCAAGGGCTCAGTGAACAACTGTTCACCAGGGTGCCCTTGGGAATAACCAGGAGTAATGGCCTTAAATTCTTGGAAGACTGTTTCAGGCTTAACATTAGGAAAACTTCACAGCCAGGGTGTCTCTAGACAGTAGAATAGGTTCCCTCCAGGGGTGGTGTAATCGCCTACCCTGGAAATCTTTGAGAGGAGACTGGGCGGTCACCTTGCTGGGGTCACCTGACCCCAGTCGTCTTTCCTGTCTGGTGCAGGGGGCTAGACCTGATTATCTTTTGAGGTCCCTTCTGGTCTTACAGTCTATGAATCTGAGTTGTTGTCAGCTTTTCATTGAAGGAGGATTGAAAGCCACTGTCTGCAGAGTTTGTGAACAGAACAAGTATGAGCTTTCTTCCTCTTGTAGTAGATAAGTACACGCACACCTCCAGGAGAAATAGTAAAGGCTTG